GTGCTATAAAACCACCTTTAAGTCCCCTTTAAGTCTGCTTATCTGTCATGGCTCAGGACAGAAGACTTGGCCCATACAATCCACAGGAGGTCTGCAGAGTAGGTCAAAGCGTATCATTTGGAAAAAAGCACTAATTTGCAAGACAAAGTATTTCATAATTCATGACTATTTGAAAATAAACGGGGAAGAATTACACAAAAAGCCTATTTTGTTCATTAAGGAACCACAGAATTATTTTCATGTACTTTAATCTCCAGTAAAGGCCAAATGCCAAGGCACAGCATTGTAGTAATCATTGAACGAGTCATATTGCACATGCTGGTTTGATTCAACCAAAACCATAGGAAGAACATGATGAGATAAAGCAAGTAGCTAGCTGGGAATAGAGTTGGGGAGGAGCTGGGTCCAAGTCTCCAGGAGATCACAAGCAATGCAGGTTTTGCTTTAGGACCCTTGAGGTGACCTAACTCTTTCACTAGTCCTTGTGCAATGAAAGGAGCAGGCTAGACCAGAAAATGTTGCAGAATAGGAGGTTGCAGTGCATTCAGAGCTACGCAAGAGAACTTACACAATTCAGGCCTCCCTCTACAACTCCCTATTTGCTTCATTAATGATGTTAGTCCTCACCTCTAATCATCACTTCAAAATTGTAGCAGCATAGTTTCCTGGAGCTATTTATTTTGTGACAGCTTTCCCAAGGACATCCTCTACAAGCATCTCTGGTCTTTTGACTGCAAGTCTCCACTCTACCCATCAGCTCTCATCCAGGTCACAGTCTAGGGCATGGTTTGCCACCTGTCCTGACAAGCACTTCCATGTTTTTCTCCATGCCTCCCCAACACTTGGAGGAGCTACCCATAAGCATCCACCACCCATGGCAGCCTGTAAGCACCCCCTACAACATCCAGCATAGCCTGTGAGTGGATTGCCTATGAGCTGCTGCTGCTGCTGTTGCAACTTCACAGCATGCCTTTGTGAAAGGATTGGCTGTACAGGATGTTCGATAGCCCATAGCCAGCAGAAGGGGAAGTGGGAGAAACCGCCCCTAACTATGACTGCAGCAGGAACAGAAGCATGCACACTGTAACTGCTTTCCTCAGAATGTGGAAATCACGTCAAGTGGTAAAATGGAAACCCTGACATTTTACCATCTGTCTTCAAATGCTGCATATATATTACATACAAAAGTAGGTTATAAGAATACTGTTAGGACCACAAAATGCGTGAGGTAGAAGGTGCCAGAATTAGGACTCCCTTGTGCTATGCAATATGATACACTTGTTAATAAGATGATCACACAGTACTCTACGAGAGGTCTCTGCTTTATTCCAAGGTATAGGATGGACTCTCTTAGGTGAATAAGATGTTACAAAGAATTTTGCTTTCTCCTTGTTGCTCAGTGTAGTCCTAGCCTTTATTTGCTATTCAAGTCCTCCTCTGAATACAGATGACTAATTTTCTTTGCAGTGATTTCAGTGGCAGAGCTCTCTATACTATCTGTGTGCTTTACAAGCATTTCTGAGCTCTGGTACCTCTGGCAGGTGTGAGGTGGTACTTTATCCACTTGAATGAAATGGAAATGGAGGAAGAGCCAAGCCATCAAGCAACCAGTGTGATCACATCAGGTCCCATGTTGTCAGGGGTTAGGCTTGATCTCACACTCCTCCTGTCCCCGACCACTGTGGCCTTCCCCACCACATGACCAATGCCCTATTGCATCCCTGTAGGCTTGACAAGTCCCACACCCAGGGCCACCTCTGCTTCAGGGTGACCAGATGAGGCACAAGGGGTACCCAAATGGAGATATCGAGGGCTTTGGCTTCGCAAGAGTGTTTAGCATTAGGTGGCAGTGGGTATGCTCAAGGCACAGCTCCCATCATCTCCAGCCCCAGGAGTGCACATTCAGGGCTGAGGTCTCATGGCGCCTGTTCAAAAAGGGGAACACACAACTACTGACTGCAAAGTGGTGAAAACCTCCAGTTAACCAGGCACAAAAGCCCCTGTGGGGGAGAGAGGGACTGAAGCCAGTCCTCTGAGGCATCTTCCAGAAAAGGCATCATGGATGGGGCAGCTCAGGTTTCATGCCAGACTCTGGCTGTACAGACTCTCCCTACCGTTCACACCTTGACACGCACCTCCCTGTCCTCTCCAGCTTGTACCTAGCCAGATCCCAAGTGTGCCTCGCTCTTGGCTCCCCACTTGCACCTCTGACTCTCCATCCCAACCCGATATCCCGACCAGGGCAGTCACTCTTCAGCTGTGGAATCCCAGTCCAGCCGTGGGGTTGTTGCCCCAGACCTGTCTCTTAGCCCAGGATCACCAGGACCTCCCAGCTGCCTCCTGGCCTAAGGACCCCTTGGCTGCAGGGGGAAGACACCGAGGAAGGAGAGGGATTCCCTGCTTTCCTCGCTGTTGCTCAGCCCCTCTGCCCGTCCTTGTCCCCAGGGCTGAAGGAGGCCCTCAGCCAGCAGAGGTGCTGCATGTGCAGCCTGGCCCCTGCTGACGGCTGCAGGGAGCAGCAGAAACTTGGCTGCGCTGTCTGGATGCACAAGAGCATTTGGGTTGGCACTGGGAGCTGCAGGATGCTGGGCTGAGCTTGCTAACACAGGGAGAAATCTTAGATTTTTGACTACTCAGCCCCAGCATATCTCTAATCAGCTCTACAGTCGCTGTTTCTTCCCTTCAAAGGCTATCACTAGGCCAAATTGGAGGAGTTTTCCAAAGGAAAAAAAAATCACAATCCTGACACAAAGCTCAACCTCTGCCAAATTTCAGATCTCTACTCCAAAGCACAGAGGGATAAGAACTATCCAAAAAAGGCATCACCAGGTTCCCCCCTCCCGTTTTTTTCCTTTCTTTTTTTTCCAATTGGACAACAAGGCCTTTTTCCCTGTGTTTATTCTTGGAAATGGTTGGACAGATTTGGCTGAAATTTTCCAGAAAAGAACTCAGCCTGAGGCAGACAATCAAGTTGGAAAAATTCCGTCTCAGTGGTTCAAGTCTGGCAAAGTCTGTGAATGCAGTATTAGAGCGGGACACATATGAGTAGCGTTACTCATGAGGAGTTGCAAGCAATCCCACCTTTGCCATATTCAAAGTTATAAAAGCTGCTGATGCTCTTTTCCTTCAGGTGCATCTTATCACCATTTGTGTATGGCACTAGGAAAATAAAGTGAATTCAGAGATCCCACTGAGCCTTTTTGTGCTCTTAACAGCTCTCTCTATTTGAACAGCTCTTCCTAGCTGATGACTGGTTGTACAAAAACACAGTTCCCTTGCCCTCAGTATTTGCATTTGAGCTTCTTCTTCTGGAATAGAGGCAGCTGACGCTAAAATGGGGTTGCTCTCTGAACTAGTGTATTCAAAATTAATAAAAGAAATAAAGCAACACACTCCTCTGGCAGGTTCCCATGCATATTTTCCATAAAAGTTCATTTTTCCACATGAACAAATTGTGAGTATGTGGGGGATTTTCACTGAATCTTGATATGGAGCTTAGAATTCTTGGCGTTGGTCTGGGAAGTTAAAATGACATCAGCTTGACTTTCTATATTGAAATTTTATAGTTGCTGCCTAACCACATCTCTTTGTTCCACACATATTCTCTCTCCTCCAAGCCGGCTGTCTGCCGCAGCTTGCTGTACACAAGCATCATTAAAGCTGTGTGGTTGTATTCCTCACAGCCCTGCCTTCCACTCCCTATACCAGGCACCCGAATGATAAAGCTGCATTTCTTCCTCCGAGACAAAGAAGCATTGTCAGTGTTACCTCTGCCTGCCGAGTGGCTCCGCAACAGCACGGCACGCGGTGCTAGGGGAGCCCTGGCTTGGCACTCAGGTCCTGTCCCTGTCTCTGGTGGCTTGCAGGTGCTCAGGGCATGCTACAGGGTGCCATTGCTTTGGGATGGGTGACCCGCGGGTCAGGGATTGCAGGAAGGCCATGCGTGCTTAGACCTTGTGGGAAACCATCCTGCCTTGCTTGAAGAAGGACAGGGGGAGTGGGAGGAAGGGGAATAGGGTAGGGAACACCTCGGAGAAGGAGGGAGGGCTTCCCCCACCAGGGCGAGACACCGCAGGCAACATCACCTGCAGCAGCACTTGTTCAGTGCCCGCTCAACGGAGGGAGAGCACACGCGCCCACGCGCACGCACACGCCTTGAGACAGGGAAGGGCGCTGAGAGGCAACATTTTTTTAAATTGAGCAGTAGTCTCAGCAGTGGTGTTTTGGTGTTATCTATCTGGCCTGGTGACCCACTAGTTTTGAATACCATGGTCCAGGAGGACTGATTTTGCACTTGGGATCCCTGTGAATCACAGGGTGGAAAAGTGGGAACGTCGGGGCAGGTAGAGTCAACAGAACCCAGCGCCCTGAATCCAGTCTGACAGGCTTTCATGCAGTCATTGCTGTTGTTTCCTGGATTTCAAATAAAAGCTTTCAAGAAAAAGATGATGCTTTCCTGCATGCACTGGGACTTGGAAAGCAGTAAGAGCAAATAAAAGCACTTAACTATCTGGCACGTCGCACCAAAACATTTCTGGTTGCACAGCTCCGTCCCTACTGTTAACAGTCACACCGTAACAGCATTAGCATATACTCTGTAAACAGACTCAGCGCGACCCTGCAGCCCAGCCTCAGCCTTTCGCATGAGGATCACAGCAGCTGGACAAACCTGAGAGGGACTCACTGCGCCTGATATCCAACGCAATGTCAGTTTTGTCTTAGTCCGGCTTGATCACATTAATACCCAGTTTTGCTGTTTCCTACGTCTGCTACATTCAGTCCCTCTCCCATGTGGCAGAGCTGCTAGCTTCTCTGAACAAGATTATCATTTCATCATTCCACTGTCGCGTGGAAATAGCCACAAGACCAGATTAACAGTTAAAGATTGTGAAGCCATTTGCCAAATGCTTCTTGCTATATAAGCAGCAACATTTTCCCCATCGCATTTATATGCTCATTTTCACACACATGCAGACACACACAATGCAGAAAATCTTTACCTTTCATGCGCACAGGAGAGATCCTGGTTTCCTCTCATGGATCAGAAGTAGGATGAAAAACAAAAGCAGAAAAGACCCTGCAAGAGACTCATCTGCTGAGAGTTGTCTAAATCCCAAGCCTGCTCCAGCTAGCAGCTCTAAGTTTGTGCTCTGAATAGAGGCTGTGTTATTTTAACCACAGGATTTCTAGTCATGGGGGAGGAGAGATGGATTAGGTACGTTTGCAATCTAATGCTTCACATTTACCTCAGCTGAAATGAACTACTTTAAGCCTGATGTAAATAAATGCAGCTAAGATATCAATTTCAAGAGCATATTAACAATTATGCTTAAGCTAACATGCTAAATAACTGTAGAAAATTCCAGAGGAGTAAGATAACATACTTTTGTGTTCTTTCCTAAATAAAAGGCATGTGTGGAATTTCATGCTAGATACTAAAGCAAGTGAGAGACAGCAGACGAACTGCACAGACTAACCTACATAAGGTACCGTACCTCATAAAACAATACTCCTAACACCTGTTAACACCTGAATCCCTCAAACATCAGAGCAATCTGGTTTGTCATGGTTTGTAAAAAGTACAGATATGTTTCCTTGGAATCTAGCATTTCAAGGGGCAAATAAAGTTTTCAAGGTAAAAAGCAACATTTTGAAAGGAATGGATATTAGGATATAAAGGATATTAGGTCTTTAGTTCTGTGAGTGCACAGATATTAGCACACAGAAGCAGTGCCCTCTCCAGCGGGGATGTAGGCTTGATACCATCCCTGCAGCTCACTGCTTCAGACAGAGACTGCTAAATACAGGCAGAATATTGTGTTCAGGAAACTGGCTTTTGTTTTTTTGTTTTTAATCCAGCTCAAAATCTGCATTCATTTCCTGTTTTATGAGTCTTTGCTGCTGCAGCTGCTCTCATAACAGAGCATAGGCTCCAGTACTAACCTTCCACGGTCACCTCGGAAGTGATGGCGTAGAAAAACAGAGCCAATAACTTTCTTTCTGAGAGCTGTGTTTTGGAAATAAAACGCACTTACGCTTTGGGCTGAGCTGAGGAAAATGACCGGGCTGCATAAAACTAGAGGAAGCAAGGATAAATTCCAATTTGTCTTTGTCAACAGCGGCTCCACAAGCACAAGTTTAATTCCATGTTAAATAAAACCTGTGTCTATAAATAACATTATCTTACCCTTACATAATGCTTTTCATGCTGAAATATTCCCGAGTGCTCTACAGACATCATCATCCCATCTGAAAACCGCAGGCGGACAACCCACCCTGGACTGGAAGACAGCGCCGCTGCGTGCGAGGGAGCGCGGCTCGGCTGGCTGGGGTGGAAGGAGGAGCAGCGTGGCCAGCTCAGACCGCGCAGGCTGCTGCTGGCAGCGTATCTGGAATTACTGGGGCTGGCACTGGGCCGGCGTGTCGCAACCAACACCACTGCTCTTGAGGTAGCAGCAAGGAGCGCAGGGCATCAGCAGGTGTGCACCACCTGGGTAGCACTGACCCAAAGAGAGCTTATTCTGATTTATGAGCCCGGAGTCTTTAAGGACCAGCATTGGCCACGAGCACTTTTATGCATCACCCAGCTCAGGCACCAGCTTCCCAGGAAAGGACTGGGGCATCTATTTGACCCACATGCAGTGGGAAGAGTGCCCTTTCAGGAGCATCTGCCTGCTTCCCGGACCACGGGCTGAGCTTCCTGAGCTCCTCTCCCATGCCTGGCCCAGTCTGGTTCAGCTGAGCTTGTGTTTTTGACTCATCCCATTTTGCCGTGGGAGCATGGAAAGCCACTGAACTGCCAGGCACCTGTGACGCCAGCCAGGCAGTGTCAGTACCTGCGCTAGAGAGAAAACATCTCCCAGCCTTGCGTGAACCAAGCCTCCCCAAAACATCTCAAGCCTCTGACTCATCTAACCCCCTGCTTCCACCAGCAGGGTACCTCGTCCACCCATGGGACCCTCTTCAGAGCCGCTATAAATGCAATAAGATCAACCCCATTGATGACTGCCAGCTACAGGGAGCCTGGTTGTCCCTGGTCCTTGCGTGGGACCTCGGCAGGGAGAAGGAGTGCAAGCAGTCCTCCCAGGGCGATGCGTGTGTGTTACCAGAGCCCTTCTGACCCGTGAGCTCAGGAAGCAGATCAACTCATCTCCCTTTCTTGCACTGTGTCTTCCACCTGGACGAAGGAGTTTTGTGTGCACAGAGGATGTTTCTATGCTGCAGAGGTGTGTATTTTTTCATTTTTGCTTAGCTGGCTAGATAGAAAACAGTGGGAGGAAGAGAGGCCAACAGCAGCTGCTCTGCAGCTTGACCTGAAAAGAGTCCATTCTTCCAGAGGAAAGAATAAAAGTGGGAAGGGAGAAAGCAAAAGCAATTTGGTTCAAGTGAAAGCATTTGATCCTAACGCATGGCTTCATTTTCCAGTTTATCTCTTAAGTCAGATTATACTCCATTTACAAAGGAACAGGGCTCTAACAACAAACAAAGAGGAAATAAAGAGTTTCATTTCTAAAACATTAAGGCACAACATTTTGCCTTTTCACGTTGCTGCTGTTTCTTTGGCATGCAGAGAGAAGTAGTAACAGAGGTGAGGGTGAGTGTTCGTTTCCTTTTTCCTCCCAAATAAGTCAGCAAATGGGAGCTAAATTCACAAAACATTTTGTTCAAATGTGTATTTTTTAGGAAAAAAAAAGTTATGTCTGAAACACTTGCCAGATTTAGCTGTCACGGCAGCCTGTATCAGGAAGCCAAACACCTGCCTGTGGAAGAGGTTTGTTATTTTTTGCTCTTGGCTCAAGGTAGCGAGTAACCGCTGCCCTGCCTGGCATTATTCTCCTGTTACAGTAAGTATCAGCAACTTGCCCACAGCTTCCAAAACAAAGTCAACTTCACATAGTTTCCTAGAGTTATTTTCCTCTTCATCCAACCCTGACATTGTGGATCTTTACAGGAATGGCTGTTTTCCAAGTGTAAACAGCAACAAATTATTCTCAAACTGTGCGAAAAGCCTTCTCTTTCTGCATCCTCTTTACGATGTTAGATATTCCTGAGTCATAATCATACCAGGCTGAGTACTGCAAGGTGGTGTGATCACCTGCCTGCCATTAAAGTCTGCATAATACATGGCCCATGCTGCAATCTTTAGGTATTAAATTTTGCATTTCAATCACTGCTCAGATGAATCAAGCAACAAATGAAAGGAAATGTGAGGCACAACGAACTGTACAATAAAATACAATTTCATACCAGTAAGAACTCCCACACTGACCTCCCCTTCCGAGATAATAGGATGAAAAATTCATAATAGTCTTTGTCGATATGAAACGCATGATAAAGGAACCTGAATAGATACCCGCCTATTCTGCATCTTTTCTTCTTCTTCTTTTGTAAAGTGAACTGAGAACTGGAGATAAAAAGTTTCTATTTCTTTTGATTTAGGAAAAATGTTTCTGTAAGTGATATTGCCAATCTGCAGTATTACAAAATCTTCAGTTAGGACCTACACAAACCATTGAGATGTTCTAGAGAATACAAGCTTTTGCAGAAAAAAATCCTTTCGGAATGGTAGCAGACCACATTTTCACACTTCCACTCTGCAATTTTGACATCTGGTACCTACCTCCACTGTAAAAGAGAGCAAATATTTTCCTTAATCAAAGTACTGTAGGAACTGAGGCCCTAAAATGGACCCTTCCCAACAGCAAGTACCATAAGACACAAAACTATGATAACTGTCAAATATTTAAAAAATGACAAGAAAAAATGAATTTAAGCTGATACTTCTTGAATTTCTTTTTTCTAGATTGTATTCATAATTCTTAAGTTTGTTTATTTGTTTTAATTATTTCTAAAACGATATCAATTCCAACCCTCAGTGGACATAAAAATTCAAAGGAAGTGATGAATTAAAACAAAACAAACTCACAATGAACTACAAATTAACTGAATGGCTTCAGTTGAAGAATTTCCCATTAAACAGGGAATTTGCATCTCTTAACTACAACCCTGAGCAAAACGGACAGCTACCTGGCTTAGCTGTCTCCCCGACATGGGAAGACACCCCCCACAACTCGCCTTCTGCAGCAGGTGTGGTGGCTGTTTCCACCAGCGGCTCAGAGGGGCTTTTCCCCAGCAGACACCGTTGCATTGGGCTATATCCCCCCTCCCTTTCAGAAATTGCTTTTACTCTCTCTGTAAGCTGGCGTGCTTGAAAACATGCTCCCAGATAGTGAGCAGAACCTCTGCCACGGCAGGCCTGAAAGGCAGCCAGCCTTCTCGCTAGCTCGGCCAAACGCTGGGAAAACACAAATACAATCTCATCCAGATTCGGTGAAAACAAGGCTGAGCCCTCGGCAGTCTGCAGCTGGCAAGTCTGGCTGCAGATCCCTCCAGGAAACCTGGCACGCTGCGCCTAGTCCCACTATGCACGCTGCCTGCTCGGTGGCCTCGGCAGCAAGATCTCCACGTGGGAGGGACGTGGGATGCGACCTGGCCCTCCGGACAGCCAGGACCCTTGAGAGAGCCGGGTGCTCTTTGTTCGCAGGGATGCTCCCAGCACCCCGGGACGCGAGGGCTCGGGTAGGGCAGTGCGGGGAGCGCCGCGCCATCCGGCCCCGGTGAGATCCGCTGCACCCCGGCGAGAGCGGTGGCGTGCCTGGGTGGGCTGAGTGCCACAGCCAAGCCCTGCGGGTTTTATCCTGTCTCTGGTATGACGAATAGATCCAAGTTAATCTCTTTCTGGAATAAGTGCTCTTGAAGTAACATTTAAGTTTCACGGCATACCACTTCTTTCAGGGTAAGTCTTACAGCGCAACTGGGTTTATTTCCTTTTTTTCCTTTATTTCCTATTTATTCTGTGCAATCAAATTCATTTCACATGATGGAAACCCCTGAAGCTGTATTGGATGTTATTACGTGAGTATTGGGCAAAACCTAAACTGCAATATAAACTGTAATATAAACTAACTAATTCAGCCACAAACATGTCAGCCTACCTCTTACCAGAGCTTTTCAACCACCCATGGTAATTTGAAACAGCACAATTGCAAAATTCGTCGTTCACCCCTCAAGACAGAAGCCTTGATCATGCTGAATGACCTGTCCAAAGAAAGCTGTAATGATGGAGGCTTTTCTTATCCTTCAGTG